CAAACTTTGATGCTATGGCTTGTCAGATCATTTTTGTGTATGGCTCTTCTGGTTCCTGAAAAAACGTTCCCTGCAAGTGGCTGTCGACGAATATAGCTCGAATAATTTCACCATCAACGCTGGTATTCCACAGGGATCCATATTGCCTTCAACCCTCTTTCTATTGTATATCAAATACTTATTGGAGAAAAACAAGATTCCAATATATTGCTTGGCAGGACACTTGTTTGGTCATTCCACTTTGCTTCCAGGACATCGGCTGCAGAGGCACATCTTCACCGGCAGCAGGAGGTTGCATATCTCGAAGGGGATCTAGAGCTGATCTCGAATTGGGGTGAAAGTAATCAGGTTGAATTCAATGTCAGGTTTTCTCCAAAGAGATGAATGTCTACGAACCGGATATAATAATGTCATGAGAGACAATTTCCAGAAAAAAGCCATCCACTCGATTGAAGACACAATTGTCACTTGCAACTTCAATAAATTAACTTACATGAGCACCCAAGTTATCGAATGAACAGATACCAAATTTAAAAAAAAATGATAATAAAGTAATGAATGATTGAAAATGCAAATTATCTAGAACTATATATGAGGCGCCCGTTTCCAAAACTTGTTAAATCTATCAGAAGTGATTTCGAGAAAATCCAACTTTTCTGATACCTTCAATTTGGAAATCAAGTAGGTTGTGACTGATTTGTTATTTGTAGGTTGTCCTTTAAAACTAATATACGGTCAGCAAACAAATATTAGAGAATGTTTTGCTGAGTTATTTGAAAACAAAAGTTGGATTAATCGAGGTTTGGAAACATATTTTGGATTTATACAGTTTTGAAAATTTATCTAAATGGTTAAGAAGTTGAGAAAGACTTATGTGATGCAAAAATAGTGTTTATTCAACTCAACTTTTAAAACAAAAAACCAGTCTCTCATTTAAGCAAAAACAGGTTCAAAATGTTACGTTTTAAATTTGCCAAGTCCTCATCTTCTGTAATATTTAACTCATCGGGAACAACATTTGCGTCAGAATTATTATCATCATCTGGAATAGTAGTAAAAACACGTTCATAAAATGACACATCATCTTCTGTGGCATTTCTCCAATCAGGACCATAATGTTTTTCAAAAAGTGCATCGACATCGGAAAGCTTTTCTTTTTTGACCTGCACTTTATTCTCAAGGAGCTCTGGAATCTCAGCTTTATTTTTAAACCGCAAACACACTAAATCACAACTGCTTCATGTTCACACAACTACTGACAAAAATCGTCTGTGTACGTAACAGTAAAGAAACCGTGCACATACGAACAGGATCTTACAAGTTTTGAAACTGTAGCATACAATGAATAACATAATGCTATTAGATCTACGCACCTTTGAAACAGCACTTACGGCAGTGGATTCATACACTTTTGTAACAGTGTTCATGAGGAATGTAGCTAGTTTTGGAAACGTACAATTTTTTTAATATCATAGTTTTACTGGAAGTAATCAGATTTGGTCCACTACAATTATATAGGCATGTGTCAAAGCTGTCAAAGAAGATATTGTCGCCATTTTCTCAATTTTAGTGAAACATGGATCTAATTAGTTATGGAAACGCACGCCTCATATATTCATCAAAATTTCTAAAACATTATACGGCGCGTTCTCAATCGGGACTACAGATTGACCTCAAATGACCTCTAGTTGAACACTGCGCGTGAAAATAGTTCAAGATATAAAAAGATGTTGATAAAGAAAGTTGAAAAGAATTCAATCCTCTACAATATTTACAATGAATACAAATAGCATGAAACCCATGGGAAACGAGATATTTGCAACCTCCAATAAGTAGGTCATTCAGAAGTGAAACCTCTAATATTCCTGTTGTAGTTCGGACTTCCATTGTTCAATATGATTCATAACAAGAATCCTCATTATCATTCTTGAGCGTTCAGATTTGTCTGTTTGAAGAGATAAATCCTCTTTTGGCTGGTTCACAACCCCAGATAATTAATTGAGACACTTATCCCGTATAATTTAACAGGTAATGAAAGGACAGCATATCGAAATAATGAGATCGAGTAACACCTCCTTCCCACGTACCTGTATCTCGAAGGAAAACTAAATTATATACGATGTTGATTAAGTGGAGTGTAACACAGTACAACATTTTTAAATTGATTTATAGCCACAAGTCTGTCTGTCTTCCACGCCGTCGGCTTCTTCAACAATATTAGCTCCCTAATCTCGTTTTTGTAGTGGTGTGTTATTGTCTGATTTATGTGTGGGATGAACTCGGTGAAAATAAAAGTAAAATGCTTGAAAGCCAATTACGCCTTTCTGGAAACATGGAAGTTCGTTATGAGATGGGCTGATGTCGAATGTTGATCATGTTATCATGTAAGCGATAAACTTCATAGGAATTCAGAATGTGAAAATAGAAAGTCAACATCCAAAGAGCAAATCACTGGAAATAGGTACTCAAAATATGCTGCTGTATGTTTACAAAATGAGGTGCATTTTCATTTTTCGCAAAAAATATTTATTTATTCATCGATTTCTACTTTGTCCCCCTCCCAAAGTAGTCCCCCTCAGATATAAAACACTTGTACCACCGTTTTTTTCAATTCTCGAAGCAGTACAGTCATAAACATTTCTTGCCTACCGAGAATCGAGCAGACATATAATCTACCTCGAAGAAACTTGATTTGACATCCATGATGTTGTCAAATATGGCTGGGTAGACGAAACCAAGTATTGTGCTTTGAACACACCTTCTTCAAGGGGTAAACGTGTTATAATATTACATGCCGGGAATGAAAGTGGTTTCGTACCTAACGCTTTGCTTCTGTCGGCCAAAAATATAATAGATATATATAATAGATATGACTGCGGCTTTATTCGAAACCTGGTTCAATGAGCAGCTTCTCCCAAATATTCCTCCAAACTCGGTTATTGTTATGGATAACCCTTGTATTATCCTCCGTTATTGACTACAATACCAAACAATAACACAAAAAAAGCAGATATTGTTAATTTCTCCAGTAATATTCATTTACTACACCAAAGGTTCCAAACAGACAAAAATATAAAAGATTCGTCTGCTGATTACCACGAAGATATGACTGCGGCTTTATTCGAAACCTGGTTCAATGAGCAGCTTCTCCCAAATATTCCTCCAAACTCGGTTATTGTTATGGATAACCCTTGTATCATCCTCTGTTATTGACTACAATACCAAACAATAACACAAAAAAAGCAGATATTGTTAATTTCTCCAGTAATATTCATTTACTACACCAAAGGTTCCAAACAGTACATCATTAATTCTTAATACTGAAGAAAACGAAAACGAAGAAACCGTGCGGTGTATATTTTCTAGAGAGATAATTGAATGGATTTCGAATTGATTGATGAGGGAGAGAACTTGTTCACGATAACAGAAGTATGTAGTAGATATTTCACATAACCTTTCGTAACAGAACATGGCACAACTGAAGATATAAGTGATAATCAATTAAGTTGTTAGGTTTTTTGTCAATGTACTTTTTATTGGTTCGGGAGATACCAATTTTGGGGATACTCGTATAAATTACTTTTCTACAAGATTGGGGGCGTGTCGGTGTTTAATTCACCGACTGAAATTATATTTGCGGAAAATGACTAGACTAAAGGGGAGGTGTGGAAGGGAGAATGATTTCTTTTTCTCTGTAGAATATATGTGTTTTACGTTTGTAATCGGAAGATGAATTTTCAGAAAAATATTTTAGTATTTGACACATCATTCACCAAAAATGTTCATTTCGTAAACTACTTCTTATGATTTGATCTTCACAAACTTTAGTGAATTCACTAAGCCTGTGATAGCGAAACATGTCCATCAAGCAACGGCCGAATAAATCAGGAAAAAAAGTTTGTAGTTGTCATCAAAAGGCAGAGTTTTTTCTCATTCTGTGATACAAGCCGTGGTTCTCACTCTAGGACGAATCATTAATGTTCACAGTCGATTTTTCAAGTTAATTTGTCTTATAACAAAAACACATGTTTTGACTCATTATATCAAATATATGGTTATCTGTCATACATACCAACGTTTCTATAACACAATCCTTGATATTTGTGCATCTGTTGCTGACAAACGCATTTATTATTTTGACATCCACTGTGAGGGACTCTATCGTAGCACTGGACGCTGTCTTCACAACTAGCTCCCAGACCGCTTGAAACTGGAAAAAATTATGGTATAATTTTTTGAGAAAGATAACATATTTTTTTCAATTACTAGGAGAAAGAAGAAAAACTATCTTAACGTCGTTAATATCAATATAAAAATGTTACCAAATATGTTTTTTCCGTTAACCAGCTATGGCACCCCTACGAACGACAACCCTTAGAAGTGCGAGCTAAGAACTAACGGGGTCTTACCTTCTAACGTGCGATTTCTAACATGAGTTGGATGATTAAAACCGTAAAGCCTGTGGCTTGAAACATTTTATCTGGGTCCCAACATTTTTTTAAATTAAATCATATCTTTTGTCATCACTGTTTGTGTAAAATTTGTTATTTTCTAGTATAAGTCTGGATCAGAATATCCTTTTTTTGGAACTTCTTGTTCAAGGCCATCGAAAATTATGATCCAGGGGTCATTTGATTCGAAATGAACTCTAGCAACTTTTTTAAAAATTTCAATCGGGGCTCGAGAAAATTGCAATTGCACTAAACGCAAAAATAGGAAAATATTAAAAACACTAAAAAATTGGGATTTTTTCAATAAGGATACCTGAGCATTCAACGATACGGGAATCAAATTTTTCAATTTTTTTCCACAGGAATGAAAAATAAAAAAGATAGGTATTTGGTCCTGAAGAAAAACCTCATAAGACAACTGTTTCCACGCTATAAACGAATCTTTTGATCAGGACAACTTTTATTCTTCATATAAAGGCTAGTCCGTTTAAGTTCAAAGTGGTTCTGACATTATTCTTGATATTTTTTAGGTGAATCCCATTCCTTCTGCACATTATAAATCCTATAAAATGTCTTTCTGTTAAGTTATTTTCAATTCGACCACACAGTTTACTTTGCCTGAATAATTTCAAATCCCAGTCATTAATCAAGATTATAAAAATCAGCTAGCGCCACATATGTCCTCCATCAAAAATAGGCAACTAACCATTTGTTTGTACATATGTGATTGAGAGGGGATCCAGTGAGATGTTGAGATACCAAACACATGACGTTTATATAGTGACATATATTAATCAATATGCAACCCTGCGGTTGAAAAGTCTGAAGGACTGTGAAAGAAACATGTGTATTTTGCATCGACAAAGACTATATTTTTAATGAGAACTGTGGTGTCAGTTGAGCAATTTTAAACAACGTTGTGGTGTTACTATTCATGACAATATTGGCATTATTTGATTTCAGTTGACTTAAGCTATTCTGAGAAAGCTACTGAGAGTGAAATAAACACTATGTTAGTTCCATTTCATCAATTTTTTTCATATTATTATATAGTTAGTTCTGATTCACAAATATTTTTTTAAAGATCCATTCAACTGTCAATCAATGGGACATTTTTTCTTTGGTTTCTATTTTGCCTAGAACCTGATTTTGGATATAGTTTTCATAAAGATAGTTGACTGAATTCAATTTCAATATGCACTCATAAACTACAATTACGTTAAACAAATAGTGAAATAATAATTACAGGGAATTAGAGAACATTCTTGATGTAATTTCACTTCTCATCAACATTTTGCCAAAATTTCAAGTAGAACTTTAAATAAATTTCGTGAAGAGCCTTAAATATTAAAAAAAAATAGGTTTGTTGTACTTACAGTCAAAATCATTATGAGATAAACATCGAAAACTACCTTCTAATCAGTCACTAGCATGGTTTTATATCGCCAAGTTTTTGGAAAGTTATAGTTTTTGAAAATACTCGATAGCTTTAGTGGGGTTGAATATAGAAATCACAAGAATGATTGTTTTGTATTTTTGTTTCAAATATTCTGGTCACCAAATCAAAATGAGAATAGTGTAAAGATATTCAACTCTATATCGCCTCATGCAGATTCGAAATAAAACTGAGATTGAATCTGTAATGAACAAAACTGAAGTAGAGATATTTTTGCTTGAATGTGTTAGTTTTCTAAAAAGTGTGTATCCATTGAACTATTGAAAAAGTATAAGTCTATGGAATTAGAGCCATACCACTGGAAATGAGTTCATTTTTGAGAACCGACAGCAAAAGATTGTGTCAGTATAAAAAAAAATATTTTAACAGTTTCTCAAACAACCACATTAGAATCTACATCATATATTTCTCAAATGAATTCTTCTCCCTCATTGTATTCCTGATTATATTTTGATTTTACATTGGAGATAATTATATATTTATATCAGACTCACAAATTTTCATCTTCCTTGTTTGAAGGTTATGCGATATTTGCTATGGGACTTCATGTATAACAAAATGTGATAACTTTTATTTTTCATTCATCCAAATTCACCAAGTTAACTTCAGACAGTCTCAAATGTAACAATATGTAATTTTGGCTAGTTAACTATTATTATCTCGTACTACTTTCCTTTTCTTGATTGCAATAATTCGCCTTCTACAGATATTTGCGAGTGTTTATGAAATATAACAGATCTTCTAATTTATCATCAAAGAGTACATGAAAAGTATTTGGGTCAAGTTTGCTTGAAAATACCAAATATTACAGTTTCACTGAATATAACAAAAAAGTTTAGACTTTCGCGGCTGAGGTTTCCAGTGTCCTTGTTTTTCGAGTTTGAGAGCCGTGGATTTTTGGAATTTCTTCCTGACGCTGTCCGATAACTCATTGGACAGCAAGCCATGATGGTTAAACCTCTGAAGAAGGTAGCCACTCGCGCCAACGAAACGTCAGGAAGAAATTCCAAAAATCCCCGGCTTTCAAACTCAAAAAACAAGGACACTACCCTGAATATACTCCAAAAAAGCAATGCTTACATGAATAAAATAGAAAATGAACAAATTATGTCTACATTATAGTTAGATGGAGATATAAACTGAAAAAAAATTAATATCCCATCACATAATCATAGTCCAAACATTCATTTAGGGTGTACCTACATCAATATTTCCGTTTCATTCAACATAGCCGAAAAAATCAGACACTTCCCTTATCTTCAATACATAAGTAGTCATCTCTTATTTCTTATCAATACACAATAAATCTCTTGAATGCTCTTGCTGTTCTTCAGCTCACTATTAACACTTTTAGTACTTTCTCAGTTTTACAACCGTAAATAAAGTAATAAATAACTGTTGGCTTCACGATAATGGATAATTTCCTTCTTATTTGGTACGGTTCTATGATTTTAATAGATTTTCTTAGCGCCATTAGTGCCCAAAGTGCCCGGCAAATAAACAAACTAAAAAAAGAGAACTGCGAAGAGCTTTATATTTCTATACAATGAGGTAGAGAGCAGATTAAACTTCTTTATATAATTTTCGAATAGAAATTACATTGGAGAATCCAACTTTTTTTTCAATCGAACTCCAGCATTATTGCAAGAGTTTCTTGGTGAAGTAGAGGTCTGTCGTTTGGTGGATACAAATTGTTGAACTGAAGCACAGAGATGTATTCGTGATATTAAAAAAAAGGTTTTGGCCGTTATTAGGAACTATTCGAAAAAGGAAGTTTTTGGCTTTCTGCTTCTTCATCTTGATACGAAAAGTGTGGGAACCTTCTAAAGATGGAGAGAAGTAGAAAGCCTAAAACTTTCTTTTCCGAAAATTAACTTTTCCTTAAAATATACCCCCTTCAACTTAGATGTGATGAACAATTTCATGAATTAAAAATTAAATGTATCATTCCAATCGATGTATGTTTGAAAGCTTACCTTCCAGACACCTCTTTTGGTCTGGCGATGCGACATACAGCTCTTTGCAAGCACAAACATTGTTTCCGCACCGAGAAAATTCTATGTTGCAGTCACTGTTTCTGCTACAGTTTGCTCCTATTCTTGTGACGACTGTTATTGATTTCTCCGTACATAAATTGGTTCCATTACAGTTACATATATAATCAATGCAGGTTGCATTTTCTAAGTGTTCACATTCTTCATCGTCATAACAGGGTACTATGGCTGAAAAAATCAACTTTTCATCTCATCATTGTAACTGATTTGTATATCAACCATAATCATATATCATATACTATTCCCTGAGAAACATTTTTTGTGGAGGGCTCAATAATTCTTACAGTTTTTTTAAGTATAAAACCTTCCACAAACTCTTTTGATTCAGCTTCGTGTATTTATCAGATTGTGGAAGGTTGTATAACCAAGAGAACAGTAAAATATCAAATAGAATTTCAGTCCTATAGTCCAATTTCAAAAAGGGTGTAGTGATAAATCACAAAACAGGAATAATTCCAATAGCAGTAAATAAAGAAATGTTGTCTCATTAATGTAAACTTCTCCTCAAGTATGACGTTGGTAATACACATTTTACGGGAAAGTTGTCTTACATATATAAATGAACTATAGTGAAGAATTCAGATCGATACGAATAATTACCAAAATGTGAAGCAAAAAAATTGGTATCGATTGCAGTATCGTGAGGCGAAGGCTTGTCTTGTTGAAAATATATTTTTTGAACTCCAATAGTGGCATTAGTTCAATTTCATAGATGTTCGTTTCGACATTTCGGCATCTTCAGGTTAAAATACTAGTGAATTTTGTTATAACAGTAACTGACATATTCGACAAGATAATTTCCTCAATGTCTTTATCACATCACCACAATGATAGAAGATAACTGTCAGTAAATCAATCTGATGATGACAATAGACCGAAACATATGTTGTTATCAAAAGCAAATATATATTGAGAACAGTTTCAATTTGATCAAGACTATTTGTCAAGTATCGAATCCAAAGGAATCCAAAGAAATCTAAAGGAACAGCTGGTTGGTATTTCAAAAGATTTTGAAAGAAACCTATGACCTTATCGAAAACAATGAATTTTATATATTCTCAGCCATCTATAAGATGAAATATATGAGGAAAAAAATTTAATTAGAGCTCAGAGAGAACATAAGAATAAATCATTTATTGTCATAACATTCATAAACACAAAAAACTACTTACAATAAAAACAATGAATAAAATTAGGTATTGTAATCATGACAAAAACTAACACTAGCAAACATTTGATGGCGTTCATTTTTTATTTGTCGGTCTGGCGAGAATTGTAGCAACACTAAAATATGGATGGTGCCACGTATTTCTATCCATTTTTTGATAAAAACGAAACGGTTTTTATAGCATTCAAAAAAGAAGTCCACTGAACAACTGCCTGGAAATATAATTAACAGGGTGATGATGAATTGAACTACATACTAAATAATGAGTGAAGCTATAAATTTATAGTCAGTGTCACCCATTTGAAATGGAAGAACTCTTATGAAACATATACAGGGTCTTCCAATAGGGACTTCCGCACAATTGGCCTTTCGCTACCCAACGTTTCTAAAAATTCTATTTGTTTCAATTTCCCAATGAATGTTTTGTATTATGCACTACTGGCATACTATGGACACATTGAAAGTCGTATTTGATGTGGTATCATACTAAGGGGAATGTCTGTAGACAATCAGCGAATATTGATTTTGCAAAAACAGTGATTGAGAATAATTTTCAACCTATCCCTAACAGAGAGTTGAAGGGAAATACGCACTGAAAAGAGAATATTGACTCTCATAAGTTGTATGTGAACGAATGTGTTATTTGTGTTAACGAAAACATGTCATTATTCAAAACTTTTGATAGAAATCATTATCATTTTGCGATGCTCAATCCGAATCCCAAAGAACCATAATTAAAATCTTCCTTTTAATGCCGAGTCCTAGTACATCAGTTACCTAGATACTCTAATGTAATAACAACACCCTGGGGGGTATTATTCAATTCTTCAGAGTTTCTATATTAAAGTCTATAACAAATCTATTATAGTAAATTCTGGGAACATCAGTGTGAAAATCGGAAACACTTCTTTTATTTATAAATTGCCACAATTGTTCTGACGCAGACTAGTAAAATTTAATTAATGTCATGTAAGCAGAAGAATTTATAAATTACGAGCTGAAATAATTATCGAAATTCATTGGTGTAACAGGCGGTTAGATTGAGGATTTCATCTGAAATAGGCTTCGATTTTTTGAAAAGTTTGATTTCATGTCTCCTGAATTACTGATAAAAATATCTTCAGCAGTAGTTCCCACAATTAGTTTCTTTTTCAATATTCAATATAGATCAATCTTCAGGTGTCTCAGCTACTTTCACTTCAAAGGTTGACTTTGAAGAATACGTAATGTTTCTTTACCAAATTTTTCATTTTTTTCTCTATATCGGAACCTATTTATTGTTTTTGAGTTTTCTATAAATATGGGTTGTTTCAACAACCAGATGTATTTATCATAACTCAGGAAGAAATTTCAATTCATTTTTGATGACGTCCTGTATTACAAAAAACTATGCATAGAATTTTATTATATCCATAGTAACTTTTGATCAGTGAATCGGGAATGACATTTCAAGCAGTTCAATTGAATGGTATTCTGCACAAGGAGTATTCTCGACTACATGATTGTTGTTCTATAAGTTAAATTTCAACGCTTTCTGGTGAAATGCTATTCAAACCATCTCATACATTTTAGAGATCTGATAATTTAAAACTCGTTTCTCATCTTCGAAAAATCCTATGAAATTTTCTAGGGCTCAAAGATTGATTCTTAATCGCAAGGTGTTTATATTATATATTAGCCCAGTTTACGACCCACGACATTAATCTCAACACAAAAGATAATTTTGTATTCCTGGTAAAAATAACTGAGATCATAATTTACACCCCAGAAGTATCATGGCGAACTGATTAAAAAATGGTGATGAAGACGTAATGGGACAACAAAATGCATGCTTCTTTAATAAGGCCACAAGGCCAAACATAATATATAATCATTCTTTCGTAGATAAGCAGACAGTTTGAACATTTATTACAACTATCAACTGGAGATTCATTGTTCAATTTTTATCGCTCAATTATTCGGTAATGAGTTTGAGACGAACTTATTTATTTAACTTTTCTACGGGGTGGCCTCACTAATTCACGCCTGAAACTGAAAATAATTCACAACACAACAAAGTTTTTGTTTCGGGGTTGAAATTAGATGATTTCAATGTATTTCCACGTGTTAAAACCGAAAGTGACCATAAAAATTATATATTAGCTCTTGTTTTCAAGATATAGTATCATTATATTATATATATGTATATCTCAGTACAGACAGCGTCAAAAAGATTTGCTTCCTTTTTTTGAGAAAAAAGAAAACCTTGTAGTTTGTTCTGACTGTATATTAGTACCGATTTTCGTTGTTGTAAATTATATCGTGGGTACTTTTCTGAAGAGCACGTGAATTCATATTCTGTTTACATATTCTCCTACTATCATAAAAACTCGTTGATTGTTTCATAAATAAAGTTTCAGTTGAGGCTAATGACTTCGTTTCACTTTAATTATCCTAAATCTCACAGAAGTTTCCCTTAAGGGGTACGACCATACGTGGAAGATTATCCTTTGATAAAGTCTGTCACGTTGAAAGAAGGCCATTTATTATAATTATTATCAAATACTTGCTGGGATCCACATGTTCCTGAGGTAAACGATCCGCGACCTATCCCTCCGGCGCCACTGCTGATATTCTCCTCTCTCGTGGCTTGAAACATAAACATACAAGTGCGGATAACCATCTGAAACATTTTTTCGTTCTGTGTTTGTTTTTGCTCCGCTCAATTAAGCATCAAATAATCATTTTATGTGTATTCTAAATGAGGGCGATGCAAACTTGGTTGTTGAACCTGCAGTAGTAATAGATGGGAACACTGTTGGACTTCTATTTTGAAACGGTGTAAGTCTAGGCGCCGTACTACACGCATCCATGCCATTATACAGAGTATCGCTGCCAGAAGGAAGTGCATTCCAGGTTTTGTGACATTGACTAATATTGGCATTGACTTATATGAATAGCACCTGGCAGCAGAAATCAAGTTCTAGTTATACTTTCAAAAACATACTTTCAGATGTATTGAACGGGGAAATATTTTCTAGGGGAAATATTTAGGGACTTTTTTCCCATTTGAAGACGGAAAAGTGGGTACGAAACCAAGAAGCTTCATTCTCAAATCCCAAATGTTTTTTAGTCATTAGTCTCCTACTTACTACTACTACTACTACTACGACATGTGGTAACACTGTTATATTCTAAATCATAACAGGTATGAAAAAGACCACGGAATGAAAAAATGAGGCTTCTATCATGGGAAATAATACAATGGTCAAAAAAATCACGGGCATTTTCGCCCTTTTCGAGTTATACAGGAAAAACTGAAAATGCTGTTTCTATTTGTACATCACTACAATCTGTACATGAACCATACACAATGTCACAGTGATTGAAATGGAACAATATCAATATCATAGTATCTTAGTGTCTGACATGGACTTCATAAATAAGAATGTACGTCTGTGCCCTAACACATTTTACATGTCATCAATAACAGAAAATGACCTCTTAGAATCAATTCTCAGCTTGAAAAATTCAACATCCCTTGACATGGATGAATTCATTAATACTTTTCTGAAACAAATTGGTCCTTGAGGAGTGCCTAGAAGATGACAGTACGACCAGCTCTCGAAAGCGCTCGCAGATAATTAATAGAAGATAATAGAAGAAGATAGAAGATAAATAATAGAAGCTTCATATCTTCTATTGATTATTTGCGAGCGCTTTCGATAGCTGGTCGTACTGTCATCTTCTAGGCACTCCTCAAACTGAACTTTTCATCCTGTCGTCTGCCTCTTTACACGGTCCGAACGTCTCAACTCAGGTATTTCAGGTACTTTAGGTAAATTTGCCTGTATTTGTACTGCATCAGGTACGATTCTTTGTGTTAGATCTTCTCTAGGAATATGTATGTATAGTTAGTATTTATAAATAAATATATGCTTTTGACGACTCTTCTCCAATTATTGTACATTGTAACATGTTTGCAACAAAAGAAATGAAAATGAGTTTGAATACTGTATAGAAAAAAATGTTTGATAAAATTTGATTTTATTATTCAATATAGTTGCCTTATAGGGCAATACAACGATTATAGCGGTCATATAATTTTTCAATACCATTTTTTTAGTACCATGTGTATTCCCCCTCAAAATAGGTCTCAGTTTCGACGATTATCATCCCTTCATCGGTGCTTAATTTCTTTCCAGTGAGAATTCTCTTGAGGTCTGAGATCAGGAGAATACTCTTTTCCGTCATTCCGTCATTGAAATATTTATAAAATAATAGACAATTTTCAAAAACTTCCGGTTCAGCTGCTGTTTTGTATAAAAATTAGTTACTGTTTCTTTAAAATTTGTCAACCGGAAGTTTTAAGTGGAATATCTGCATGAGAAATGGATATCTCACTTTCTGCGAAAGAATGAGAGATTGAAGAAAAATTAAAAATGGAAAGAATCCCACCATTACACATTATAATTTTCTTCTTTTCATTTCCTTGATCACATCATCTAAAACGCCCTTAGTAGTTTCATGATGACTTGCCATAACTTCTGAATAGGTTAACTAAATAGATGACTAACCAGATCCACCATATTTCAAACTACATAATGAGGAGCACATAATATGTCCATTCAATGTTAAAGAGTAGAAATAACGAGAGTTATATACAAATTAGTTTGGAACCCTGCAACGCCGGCGTCGACGTCAATATTAATATAATTGTAATTTATTCGTGTTGTTGGAGTAAACTATTTCTTTATATTTCATATTTATTGGTGAACATCATCTTAAGTTATCTCTATGCTAGCCGTGGTAACCAGTTGTAATGAAAATGTAACTTCTGTAGGGACGGTTTGATTTAAGTGTTTAATAAACAGTGTGATGGAATTATCAAAGTAGGCATGAAAATTAAAATAATTTATAGATTTATCAGGTTTGGTGTCTCGTAAAAGGTTTGAAAATCGACTATGGGGTAAATATATGTTTAGAAAATAAACTACGAAATGAATTATTTGAACTGAATTGAAAATTGGTCCAACTTATACAGTCCGTTTTTAGCTGACCCCACTACACTATCTCAGACACGGTAAGACCTACAAGGCCGGTTAAGTTGGACAAAAGTTTCCTAATTTGGGGAACTAGAATAATTTTT